CCATGTATTCCTGTTTTCTCTTCCCTGGAGACATGAGTAACAAATGGAAGAACATTAAAAATCTTCACTACACTGATCTTGTGAAATCTTTCGTAAAATCATTCTTCTCTACCAACATAATTAGAAGCAAATCTCTAAGCAGCAGCGTTAGGGCATCAGCATGGGCATATCTACACATAGGCACGGAACAATCCTTCGGGGAGGATATCAAAGGACAATTGCTGAGAAATTCAGCGTGCTCAACACACCTCCTAATCCCACTACGTGAGCTCTGGAAATTGCTAATGAGAAAAAGGCACCTAGGGGGTTAATCCCCGGGAAATGAAGGCCGAGGGTGCTGCCAGCGCCAGGGTTTATCGCCGTGGAGTCGCACATGTCACGAGAGGGAGCCCAGTCGTGCTGCAGAGGCTGCGGAGATTGTACTGGTGCACTGTGACCATGCGGTGGTGCTTCAGGACTGGGACACAGAAAACCTGCAGGGTCAGAGAGCACAACGTTCCTCCTGCCAGCGAACGTGTTACTTACTGCTAAAGGCTCTTGGGGGGAAACACAACCTTTCTCTGCCTTTTCTCTCCACTGTTTCGCTCACATGGGCAGAGATCTGCAGTTACAGGGGATTAAAACTGTGGCTGACTCAAGGTGATGCTCTCACACCAAAAGGGAGCAGTGACCTGCACAGAGCTTGGCTGTACTGACAGAACCAGCCCAGAGTGTCTGTTGCCTCATCACATACCTCATACCTCTTGACAAGTTAGGAAAATTGTTCCCTAAAATAAAATCATACACCTGAATCCAAACTGAGCTGGAAGATCAACCAGAATTCTGGAGTTGTCTTAAAACTGTACTTCAGAATTCCCCAGTAGCCACTTGGTTAGCAGTTGCCTTAGCAAAAATACCCAGGAAACCACAGTTTCCAAGCATCACTGGTCTTTCCAGTGATCCAGGTCTTTTCAGACCTTTCCAGCATGAAATATTGGGAACAGGTAATCCTGTATGAAATCATAGAGTCATCACACATATGTGTGACTGCTTCTGGTGAGTTTTCCAAAAGAGGAGAGTGTTGAGAGGTGAAAAAAAAAGGGAAACAAAAATGACAAAACTGAAGGGAAAAGAAGTGAACCAGGAGAGAAACAAGGAGACCCAACTACATTAACATGGCAAAACTCAGGCTGAAGAAGATACAGTGAAAAAACTGGGCCTGACTTGTATAAGCTGTGATAAAAGACAATAAACCTTACCTTAAGGACATCAAAGGGGCACAACATTCCTGTGTGTGGCTCTGCATGAAAGATCTCCAGGAATTCCAGCACAATCAGGAAACTCTTCTACCTGGCTACTGTAGCTGCAGGAGCTGAGATAAGGAGTTGGAGAGTCAGGGCTGGTGATTTCTCCAGTCTCTCAGTAACAACCTGGCTCTGACAGTGGGCTGGGGCAAACAAACAAACAACAGAAAATGATGATTGCAGTTGTTTTCACTCAGCTCAGCCATACCTGGGTAAAGGGAGTGGATCTTTCTCTACACTAGTCTATCCCCTCGTGAAAGCTCCAGAGCAGTCTCATGTGTTTCATCAGGGACATTTACCCCTCGTGAAAGCTCCAGAGCAGTCTCGTGTTTCATCAGGGACATATGTCCCTGTGGAGGAAATTGTGTGTGTTCTCTCTCTCTGTTGTGATAGGACCAGGGCACCAACACAATCCAGGCCTCCTGCCTCAGGAGAGCAGGGAAGGACACCAGGAAAGCTCCACTTAAGACAGCCTCAGGGCTGGAGGTCAGAAACAAGTGTGATAACTGGGAGCTCATCAGAAACATTCCGAGGTGTTAAATTTGCAGCTTGTCTGCTGCTCCAGTGTGTCCAAAGTGGTAAGATAGCTATCAGCTCCTCAATTCCAGAAGCCTCTGAATGCAGCTCTTTCTTTTTAATGCCTTTGTTGCCAGACATTTAGAATGTAATTGTATTCTCTGAGCAAAACCAGCTGTGCCTCTTGCCGACACAATTGGAGCCACAAATGCTCCCTGCTGAAGAGAAGCAAGAAGGAACAGCCACAAGTGCCCCGAGGATCTCTGCTTGTTGACAGCATCTGATCACTGTGAAGTGGTGCTTTGATCAGCTGGGAACAAAGGCTTTATGATGTGCTGCAAAAGCTGTATGAGCAATCCTGTAATTGATGAGGAATGCTGGACTGGCTTGATAACACCGGCAGATTTCTGCACCACTCTGGCACTGAATTAATTGTAAGAGGGAAATTGTTTCACTTTGAATTGTGTCCTCAAACACAACGTGCTAAACTCCACCAACAAAAAATGCCATTATCCAAGTCATTCATTACGGATTATCACCTGAAAACAGACTGGACACTTTCAGGTTACATTTTAATGGGAGGGAAGCAAGTTGTGAATGTGAAAATTAACATTACTGTCCCTTAACTAGCCACAGATTCCTTTAGTCAAGAGTCTAAGCTTCTTTTACTTCAAAGAATGAAGCTTGTTGCCACCCCATCCCGATGTGCCAGCCCTACTTGTTGCTCTAGGAAGTATTTGGATTACCAATGTTTACTGGGAAAGCAGGAAGAGGTAAAAGGATAATCTTTTGGATCTCTGTGTCTCTCAGCACAACTACAATACCCTAACAGAAATAATGATGCACTTGGGCAACAAGTGTTTATTTTAGCACAAAATGTGATTTCAGAACTATCTTTCCCTGTTCATCTTCCCAAGAAAGCTACAAGCAGCTGCTTTTATTTGACATGAACCATCACCCCAAGTGGCTGAGCATCCCTGGGTGTTCCACTGAAGTCATTCTCCTAGGTTCTCTAACACAGCTTTTAACACAAACAGTTAACAAACACCTAGAAATGCCTATTCTGTTAAAACTGAGCACTCTCCTCATTTATAAATCCTCTTTGAAATGCTCTCTTGGTCCACAGAAGCAGAGAAAGTTTGACTAATTCACCTGGAGGTTCTGCTGCCTCTGAATCCAGCCCAAGAGCACACTGCTTTGCACCAGGGATCAGCTGAGCTCCAAAGGGAATTAAATCTTTTCCTTTCACGCTATACTTGTAGAGGATTATCAGTAAGTGAGGATTTTTTCCCTTAATTCTTCCCAGCTAAATGCATATTTCTGTAATTTCACTGACTGTGCCTTAAACTACAGAAGCATTTGAAGGTTATGTGAGAATAAAGCACTTTTTCCAGCACATTCTCCTGAGCTGCTGCAGGTGCTGCTTAAAATACTCCAGTTACATAGAGTTCATTACCTCTCTCAGGCTTTAAGGTCCCACTGAAATTCCTCCTTCCACCTCCTGCAGCCCAGGCTAAGAAACACCCCAAAACCTGCTTCATATGCAGATCTAGCAGGATACTGCTCAGCCTTGTGTAAGTGCATAAAAATCTGCTTCTCTGAACACAGAAATTTCCTCATTCTGCCATCTCTGTCCCACTCTACAGCCCCTTCAGGAGTAGTCTGGAGGCAATTATAGGAAGAGCTACATGAAATCCTTGGGTGTGAAAAAAGACTCAGTGGGAATTCCTACCCTAAGCACACAAGCCACAATATAATGAGGACTATTTTACACACCTAACTCCCTAGTGAAATCATTAGGCAGTTAGAATCTCAAATCCTCTGCCAGTTCTGCATCAGAATCCTTTCCTATTACCTACAAAAGCCTTTTGCCCATGGGATCTGCCATGTAAAGAAGGGATACTCAGGTTGGTAAGGTTAAATTTTCTCTGACATGAACCTCAGAATTAGGAAGGAGCAACACCTTGGTTTTTATTTACCATAGTGATCATGTTATCTCCTTAGCTTAAAGGATGTTTAAAGGAATGTTATCAGACTAAAGCTCAGTGCAAATACAGGGACTAGAGAGAAATGGTGCAGAGAAGATCTCTGTGTGCTAACACACACACCTGTAGAGACAGAACAACACTGCACATAACCACACACTGTAGCTCCTGAAAGCTGTTTACTTTCTCTAGTAATCAGAGGGCAAAGGGACACATGATGAAATTAAAGGGTGAAAACCACAAATCTGATAGAAAAACAGGATTATGCTTCTGCATGGAAGTTTACTTGAAAAAACACTTACTGAACTGTACTGCCCACTGAAGCATGAGGTGCTGGCCAGTCCCACGGGTTGGACTCCAGGGATCCTCAGCCTGGGTCTGTTCTGGAATGCACATTCCAGGTCTGCTCTGAGCTGCCCAGGTGCTGGTTTAGATGCTCTTCAGGGCACAGACTGCTCTGTGTAGCAAAGAACAGCACCACAGCTCTGCACAGAGCTGGGCTCCCCACGTGCTGGCACAGTACAAACAAAACAGTGCCCTGTTAGTAGCTCAGTAATTCAGAGAACCAGCCTTGGTTTGAAGGACTAGAAAAGGAGAAAGTTAGAGACTTATAGTTCTACATACTTCATGACATCTGTCTCCTTTAAACTCAGTTTCTTAACTTGATGTAAGATTTTCATTATACAGTTTGGAGAAGACATGAATCATCACCTATAAACTCTCTTGACCTGTGCTCACATGAGTAGCCAAAACTAGCTGACCCAACAGAAGGTACTCTGCTAGTCCAAGAGAATTTGCAGCTTGAAGATGAAAAGGCTTAGACTGGACCTTGCTTTTCTCCTAATATCCCCTGGATGTGGCCACTGGGAGTTCCTTCTGTCAGGGCAGTATTTTTTTCCAGAAGTCTGCAAGTAAGAAAGTCATAAACTACCCAGCACAAAAAGGATCAAATAATTTTTTAACATCTGCCAGCAGAAATGTTGTCCCTTGACTGCTCAGTCCAAGCTTTAGAGCTATCCTGAGAGTGCTCAATTATGCTTAGGCCATATTTTTATTAGGATCACAGTGAGCTGTTTGCCAGAGGCTTGAACTCTGAAAAATGAGCCCCTCAAAACTTGCAAGTCCATTGTCAGTGGCTCATTAGTTCTCCAACAAAAGGTGGGTCATAAATTGTATCACTGAGCCATGACAAAACTTCAAGCTGCTTTGATCACAATTCACTGTGACCATGAAACAGCTTCTGAACAAGATTAAACACGGCAGAAATAAGCCTTGGTAGTGCTTGCACAGCCACTCTGCCCCCAAATCTGTTCTCTGCAGCATCTAACTCCTAGACACACACTAAACATCATCCCAGTATTCAGGGCAGGGGTGTTCCCTCTCGTTTTGCTGATGGATGTTCAAAGCTGCTATCAATGACTTGCCCAAGGGAACAGAGAAGTCTGCAAATGCAGTGGCCTGAAATGAGTTCAGTGTCCCATCTGAAAGACTCTCCATGCCCTCCCAAGCTTACCTGGAAAAGGGTTCTCTCCCCTCTGTGTTCTATGCACTAAAGAGTTGGAGTAACTGAACCTCATAAATAACAATTAAAAGCAACCCCTGCTAAACTGCAGAAATAAGGAAACACTGATCAGCTAAAGCTCCTTAATCCCTCAGGCTTTTAAACAAAGCCTTGTTTTCCCTTCAGCAGTTCACCTACAGCTGCTCAGCTCTGACTTGTTAAACTCTTGCAATAATCATCATGTTTCCATCACAGAGCTGGGGAGCTCCAGTCACTGACAAGTACTGGGCATGGCATTTCTTCAAAGTGTTTTAAGAAGATGGACCCTGCCTGAAGAGGGTACAGCCTGAATGGACATCAGCTGGACATACTGTGGAGCAGGGAGAGGCATTGTGAGGGACTGAGGCAGCATCAATTAGTACCACAATCAACTGAGCTGATGAACAGCATTCCTGGTGTGGCATCTCCTCTGTGGGGAGGGCACTGTGCCTTCCCCTGTATGAAGACAAGACACCTCAGCTGCCCTGTGACATTCCAAACTCCTGGAACCCTGAGGCTTTGCTCACCAGAACACACTTCAGCCACCAGGCTAAGTTCCCAATGGCCAGAGTCACAAAATGAGGATATCAAAATATTCAGACTTTTCCAAAGGGCAAATGGGCTCTGATTAGAAAAGTTCAATCTACAAGTCTGGGTGCATGTCTAAAAGGAACATTAGGGAACATAGGTTTGGTTCTGGTTTTCGTGGAGTTTAAGAACTATGGAAGGTCAAGCAACAAGAGCTGGACAAGATATTCAAGAGTCTTCGGTGCTCAGGGGCCTTTCTCTCTTATCAGCTCCTGCCTTATCTACCTTCTTTTTTACCCTGGAAATGTGAGAAAATGAATGTCCCAGAGGCTGCCATCAGCTTTCAACAAGGAACAGCCTCTTTATTGTGTGCAGGAGGCAGGTCTGAAAGGCAAGGAACCACACAGGCAAGTCATGGAGCAAGAGCAGCCTGCAGCCCTTGGCTGGACTGCGACAGGCAGGTCAGGAGGGAGGGAAACCAGCTCTTCCCAGCACATCTGTCTCCATCTCTGCCTAAGCCAGGAGAAGCTTAATTATCTCATGCTGGAAAATAAAGGAGAAAAAAAGAGCCTGTCAATATCAGCCTGCTCAGACAGGAGTCACAGGGGCAGCTTTTGCCTTCATCTCATGAAGGAGATCTGCAGAGACCTTTGCTTTGCAGCCCAGTGGCTGGAGCAGCTGCAATGCTGGATCTAAAGGCTCTGAAATATGAACAGGTTTCAGCACATCAGCTGCACCACAGCAATTCCCAACGTGTACATCTGCACCACCAAGGTATCCCAGCCCTTCACTACTGCTGATCAGCTCCCCCTGCCCAGGCCGTGTTCAAGGAGGAAGGCATAAGTGTGCACACATGGATGGTCAACTCAGAGCTGCTCGTCTGCTAGTTCACAGCTTTCCATTTTGCACCTCCACATTAAGGCCAGGCACATGCTTTACAGCCTCAGTAAATCCATATATTTGTGCTAAAAGCCACCACTTTAGGAAGGGCAGGTTGAATGAACAGCTCTGTTCCAATACACTGGAGACATGAGCAGTTTGAGTCTTGAATCATTCCCAGGCAGCCACGGCTGGAGAGAGTCTGTAATAGGCTGGAGTAGGGAAGCCAAATGCCAAGGCAGCCTGAAGCACTGGAAGTTAGATCCAATTCTGCCTTTCAGCACTGGGGAGCTCAAAGAAACTATCTTCCACCTGTGACAGTATTTATGAGCAGCATTTGTGTGGTTCTTTCCAGACAGGACTCAGTTTCAGGTGGCAAAGCTACACCCACAAGACATAAACCTCTCACCCTGTGTAGGCACATGTTTCACTGCCAAGTGAATCCTGAGGTGCTGATCCAGGCACCTGACAACACAGAAGCTTTTCCTAGCTGTGAACTGAGGAGCAGAGCCAGGCAGCATTTAGTGAGACAAACCTCACACTGTAAGTCCCTCTGAACAAGAGATCCATGTCTGGCCAGTCTCCCATTTAATGACTGGATCACAGTGTCTGGAACAGAGGTGGAAAGGAGTAACCAAAACCACCTGCCAGTGCACCATTCCACTGACATGATTGCTGTCCCTGAGAGCAGTCAGCAGCTCACAGCCACTCTGCAGACCTCTACTCACAGCCCTGACTAACCCCCTGAGTCTCCTTCCAGCTGCACCAGGTGCATAGGGAATACTGAAAACGACAATAAAACCCCACAGCTCTCACTCTGATGTTAGAGCCAGGACTGAAGTGGATGTTGTAGGAAGAGAACTAAGCCCTGATCTATCAAGAGCTCACCTGTGCATGTCCTCTTGTTCTCATGCAGTGTGTAGCCAACCCTGCAGCTGCAATAGTAGCCCCCCACGTAGTTGTGGCAGTGATGATTGCAGAGGGGTTCACCATCCACCAGCTGCTTGCACTCATCGATGTCTAATGGGCAAAGCACAGAATTAGGCAAACAACACCCTTCAACAACACGTTCTCTTGGTCTGAGCCACGCTGTGTTATGTGAACTTGGCCTGTTTGCCTTTGGCTGCTGTGCCCTTCTGCATCTGCCTCCATACAATGAGATTGTCTTCTCCCACCCAACATCAGCAGCCACAGGCTATGAGAGCACAGGGAAGCACCAACTCTACCACATCTGTGGCTCTTCCATGTACAAGAGGAGCTGGTCTCTTACCTTCAGCAGCATAGAAGGCCTCAAAGCCTGTGAATGATTTCTCATTGGAGTAATCAGACCGAAACACTACCATGAGGTTGTTGTCGATGGAGATGTACGTCTTGTTGCCTGGAGCCTCCTCAGTGTCTGTACTGTTCTTTCCACAGAGAGTAGCCAAGGTTTTCCCACCAGAGCTCAGCTGGAAAACAGGCAAACAAATCCATCAGATGAGTACAGGGCATTGCTCTTCCCAACCTGCTGCCCTGGCTTGGAAAGCATGTGTTTAATGGTGTGAGGAAGGAGACTTGGATGCTCCCAAAAGCTGTTTCTGGAGGTCTGTCCAGATCCAAGGACAGATAAGGACTTTACAAGTGGACTAAAATTAAGTGCTTACAAGAGCTCTGTTGGTCCTGCATGTGCCCAGGATCACATAGACACCATTTTTAACAGCTTAGCCCTGATAGACCTCGCCCTGTTCTGCACATACCTTCACATAATCATATTCACACAGGTAGGACAGCTCCAGGTTGAAATAGGTGAAGTAGATGCGGACAGAATATCCCTTGGGGACAGTAATATTCCAGGTTCTCTCCTTGTGATTTGGGTAGACGTTTGGGAAGTTGGGGGATGTGATCCTCCCATACATTTTCTGCAGCACAATGCTGCTCTTTACCCCACTGTAGAGCACAGCCAGCAAGACAAACAGCCTGTGTCAAAGGAACAGAGGTTAAGGGAGAAAGAGTGAGCATTAACTCAGATCACACCCCAAAAGCCACACATCCAACTGCCAGTCTTGACACCAGATCAGGTAACTCAGTGCCAGCTGAAATCTTCACCCCTTCTCACTTGGCAGTGGAAGAAATCAAGATGTATCAGTGGAGTCATAGCTAAACAAGATAAGACTCACACCTCTCCCTTCTAGAACAAAACCAAAGGACCAGAGGAGCTGGGAAAGGCCCTGTGACTGCACTCACCTCATCCTGCTGCTCTCCTGTCCAAGCCTGCTCTGCCCTGAGCCCTGGGGAAGGAATCTCTCTCGATATATTTGCATTTGGGGGTGGATTTATTATGTGTGCTCTGCTGTGTTTGTCTGGATGTTGAACTCTGATGTTTATCTCCTTTCCACCCCCTTCAGCCTACTGAGTTCTGGGAACAGCAATCACTAAAAACCCAGGCTCGTGTTCAGGCTTCAGTCAATGACAGGGAGAGGCAGGCAGAGATGGAAAGGGTGGATTAGGAATGCTGCAGGCTCTTGGAGGGCTCTGCGGGAAGGCAAGGGGTGGGAGGAGGTGGCTCCAGACAGTGTCTGCACAGGGCAGTGAGGGGAGCTGGGTCCTCTAACCAACTGATCTACAGTCACTACTAATGCAAACAGCATGTTACTGGAAGTAACTGGAGAGTAACTGCTAAGTAACTGGAAAGTAACTTCCAAGTAACTGGAAAGTAACTTCTGTTGTCAGAGCAGGAAGGTGTTGGAAACAGAGTAATGAGACATATTACAGGATTTTATATAGTGACTGGTGTGTTTAGATGGTTCTGCATGATGGGACAGGAATACCCAGACACACAACCCCACAGAACACATGGGCATGAGTCTCAGAGATGCCAATGCCTTCCAGTTCTCAGCTGCACATTTTAATCCAGTGCAAACTGGTGGTGACTGAAACCTGCTCCATGCCTTGTTCATCCACATGGATTGCTTTTTATCCTGCCCATCCCGGAACCATAACCACCTTTTTGCCATAAGGCTAAAAGGCACACTTGAAAAATAACTCAAATTTCTCTTCAGCATTCATGGATCCACACAGGGATTTCACACTGCCCAAGGGATTCAACTGGGAGAGCCAGTGCTCTAGGACATAAAGATTTATTAATCCCACTGCTTGCAGACTGCTTCTTTCCAAGTCAGCACTTAGGTGTCCCACGAAACTCCTATTTCAGTGTACGTGGAGATAGATTTAAATTTATAGAGGGTGAAAAGCCAGATATATTAATCTAGATCCCACCACTTCCCAGACAAAAAAAGGGACAGAGTGGGAAAACTGGTCTGCAGCAGGGAACAGACTACTGCACTGCACATGCAGGGAATCTATCCTGAGATAGCCTGTAATTAAATGGACACCCTCAGAACAGCCAAAAATCATTACCCCAGGCAGTGAGGCTGGTGCTGGCAGGGAAGCAGGAGTTATTACATGAACAAAACTAAGGCCAACAAACCATTTAGCAGCCTGCAAACAGAAAACACATTTAATAAAAGTGAAGGAGAAACTTGTAGCAGTAATAATTAATTGTGTTGCAGCAGTACCTACAAGCATGGCTAATGGACAAGAACCCAGAAGGGACTGGCTTTTCCCATGGCCCACTAGCTGCTAAAATGATCCTATCAACAAGATAGATGTGGACTTCATTCTGGCTGGAAATGAGGGAAGAGAAAGAAAAATTTTGTAGAAAATCAATCCATGCCTAACTGAGCTGTTGCCTGACTCCTACAGGCATGAAAACTTCCAGAAGCATCCCACACTGGGCTTCCTGCTCAGTTCTGTAGCAGAGGATGGAGTCAAGTCTGAGCTTAGGCCTGAAGTTTCTCACTGATGAGACCCCTGAAGCTGATGGTTGCTGCTGAGAAGTAGCTGAAAGGTGACTTAATAAGCTGTAATCCTGGAGCCTGAGACACTGAATGCTCAGTGCACACACTGCTTTCCCCTGGCATGGTCTGTGGAGAAGCACTCGATGTGGACACCACCAGAAACACTGTCCCTGTTTTGTTGCCCAGAATGCTTCCACCCCCAAAAAGCTGCTGGGGATCAGCTCACCAGGTGCAGCAGTATTTTGGGAGCACTGTGATAGCTAACCTCAGGCCCAACACATGCTCCACTTGCCCACAATTTCCCTTTGGCACAGAGCTAAGCCAGCTTGAAAGCTGAGTGGACTTCATCCATGCCACAGCAGCTTCCAATGCTTTGGAACTTGCCAAGTTACTGATCCACTTTAGGAAGTTTGGGTGTTACCTGAAATGACAGATGCCTCCTGAGAAGTCAGCCCAGTTGTCTTCTCGTGCCCTTGTCTCCTTCCATGCTGAGAGCTGACTGAGGTAGCACAAAGGTGAGCTATATTCTCAAAAGAATCACCAACTTGTGTGAAAGCCACAGTTCAGAGAAAGGACTTCCCTTGGAAAAAAAGAATCTGTGGAATGGAGGAATATGGAATGACACAGAGATACTGGAGAGAACTCATCTGAGCACATACTCTCCCCCAGCCCCTGGACAGTCTCTCAAAATATGCTTTTATTACTTGACACTGAGGTCTGTCAAGGAAAGGTTTCAAATCCCTCCTGCGGCAACAGTGAGTGCAGACAGCAAAGTCAGACACATGAATAAATCAGCAAGAGCAGAGCTGCTCAGCCAACACAGTGCCTCAGGCTGGTACCACTAACATCCAGAGAGCTGATCTTCACTTACCCTGCAAAACCAGACAGCAGCAGGAACCAACCAAAACCATGAGCAGGCTGGAAAGCAGCAGTGCAGCTCAGGCCACCACCAAAGTGCTGTGAGATCCAGGCTGAGCCACGGGGCAGCTCTTCAGCTCAGCTTTCCCTGCCTTCAAGTTTTGAAACTGCAAAAATGTTACCTGAGGTAAATTCTGCCAAAGCTGTGTTCACACAGAAAGGGTTTCAGCTGTGACAAACTCTGAGATGCTGTAAAAATGAAATCAATACAGCTCCACCATTTAATCAAAACAGTCCCAGACAGCTCTATTTTTAAATGGACCATGCAAAAACCACACAGTGGGTCTGAAAACCATCTTGTGCTGAGGGGCAAAACCACCTCCAGGTCTCTGAAAGGCAACTCCTGCATTCTGACAGCAAGTCCATAGAAAGCATGGCAATAACTGAGCGGTGTTTGGGGTATAATAAACAGGACAGTGAGCATCTGAATGTGCTTCCAGATCTGAAACACGGGTACAGTGCCAGAGCCAGAGGCTGGTTAAGGAATGGAGGAAAAGCCTGCACAGTGCAGTCATCTAACATAGCAGGGGCTGTCCCTGCATCACCAACCAGGAGAGCAAACGAGAGCAAGAGCTGCTTGCTGTGATCCCTGAAGACATTGCTCCCCACTGCCCCTTCCCTCTGAAATGCCAGCTGCCTCTGCAGTGCCCTGAGAGATTGCTGGGCTGCTTGCTGTTCCGTGGCTAAATCCCATCCTCCTGCACTGAGGGGTTCAGAGGACTGGGGGGAGCAAATGCAGCAGAGGAAAAGACGTTCTGTTTCCTCACTACAAATCAAAGAGCGTGACTGACATCCAAAGACAAGCAAACAGACTGAGCAAGCAGAGCATGGAGTGGGGCAGGGGGAAGAGCCTGGTTGCTGTGAAACAGGAAAAAACCATCTTGCCAGGGGAAAAAATAGCAGGCAGAGAAAGCTCCTGCAATGGGGCAAGGTACTTCCTTCAGTTAGGGCAGGTTTCCCTCCTTCCCACGCCGTCTGCTGCTGTACACTGTTTGCAAAGACAGACTCCAGCTGCCACAGGGTGCTGCAGCACATTTCTCCAGCACTGAAAAAAAAAATCACTGGCCTTGTCCTCTCTACCCTGCACCAACCAACTTCCAAAGGACACCTACAGCATCCTCTTCATCTGAAAGTTCTTGGATCTGAGCTCATGTTGTCTAGGAAGATCAACAACAACTCTGGGGTGAAGATACCTGATGGCAGTTTTGCTCTTCTGGCATAAACAGAGTTCTCAAAATCAAGGGTGGCTGTGTGGGGTTGAACTCAGGTTGGGAAACATGACCTCTCCAGGAGCACCACAGAGCTCAGAGTGCAAAGCACACACAATTTATACATCATGTATATGTACATACTGAAAATGATAATGGGTAAATACCTCTATGACCTCTGTTCAACTGCACAGCTGCAAAATCCAACAGCACACAACTTCCACATGTGCCAGCCCATCTCAACCACTGCATGGCTGGATGGGTATGTATTCACATATGTGACCACACAAGTTCCAGGGCAGATCCCTGCACTGCACACACTCAATCCCTTAGGGAGAGGAGTATGACACAAGAAAGAGATGCTGGTCACACTACTCTGCCTCCTCATGGGAAGAACTCCCACCCTGCCAGAGGGAAGGTAGAACTGCATAGCTCAGAATCTCTTTTCCTGTCTCCCCACTCCCATTAGCCTGGCTCTCAGAAACTGAAGGAGCTCACACAGCTACCGTCTCACTCCCACCCACATCCTTGGTAGCTGCAGCATGTCTGCTGGGCTGGCTCCAAGTCTGTGACTTCACTGGAGCAGCTGCTTGTGCTGGGAAGAGAATTTGGTTACAATTCAGATGCAGCTAAAGCCAAAGCTATGAGGTAGTGCTGCCTTCTCTCCAAGCAATGACGGTCTGCACGTTCCAGGCACAGCCAACATGCTTTCCCTGGGTAAGCTGCCTCCAAATAGCCAAGAGGGACAAAGGGAGTGGGTGAATGGCACATCCAGCATGTAGCTCTTGTCCAGCATGAACAGGGAAGGCAAACTGGGGGTGGCAACAAAGAGAAGCAAGAAAAATATGACAAATCACTGTACTAGAGGTCACAAAGACCAACTAAGGACAAGCCCATCAGGAACTCCCTACTGTGAAGAGAATGAGGCTAAGGAAAACTTCCCCTGAACCTATCATAGATTCATTCAGCAAGCAGCTTGGCCCTGCAAAGTAATTAGGAGACTTTTCAGTTCCCAGAACAGGACCCAGGAATCACAATCTCATTTAGAGAGAGTGGTTTGGAGTTACACACCTGCCACAATGACTGGAAGGCCTGGAGAGTCACTTGCCAGCTTGGAAAAGACTGTTAGCATGTGCATTCCCTGCAGCACAGTCTCCAGCAAGAGGATCTACTTGAGCAGCAGCTTCTCTCCAAAACCATTCTTTGTCATGGGAGAACTGCAAAGCAAGCTTGGCAGAACCACATCCACCTCCTGCTGGAGTACCTGGACAATCTTCCACTGCTTTATCCTGTCTTAAACAAAGCTTAACACTTTCCCTGCCAGCAGAACCAGACTGC